TCGCGCGTGAGGTTGACCCAAAAGGTATAGATTTGGTCAATATTCTTTCATGTTTTATATAACAGACATTGTTTTATTTTATAAAGTAGATAGTAGAAAGAAATCAACTTGCTAGAACAGAAATAGGTGAAAGAAGGGAGGTAAAACAAAATAAATAGGCTTAACAGCCTCCCTTCAACTAGTAGGGAGAAATTGTATGAGGTGAATATGGAAATGGAAAATCGGCTGGAAGTCATTGCCAGTTAAAGAAATGAACTACATTCCCTTTGCTTGTCAGACAGTTTTCTTTAGCTTTTCCTTGCTTTCGTTGCCTGTTACCTGTGAATTTTCAACTACTGGGTCTGTGCTATAACAAGCATGAATAGCAGTAATTGGCATTTAGCAGTTATTATTCTACATAGAACACATTTTATGGTAAGGGTCCTGCTTAGAGGCAAGAAAAAAATGTGTGGGGAATTGGCATTTGTTGGGTTTCATTAGATGGTTTGATAATTTTCACATTGGCTGCGAGGACAATTTCCTTCTGGCCGGAGAAATAGATTGTTTATTGATATAAACTATCCATCATATTCAGCATTAAAACCTTTTTTTTTTTAATTTATAAGATGATTACTTCCTAGTTTTCCCTTTAACTTACATCAAATTCATGTTGGTCGATTGTCAAAAATCAGGAGACAGGACATTTGGTGTTTTAACGAAGATTGATCTGATGGACCAGGGTACCGATGCTGTTGATGTAAGTTCTTTTTTTTTTCTTCCAGTGGTTGATATAGCTGACATTGTATAATACAATATAATACTAATAGCAGCTCTAACATAGTAGGAGTATCTTTTATATGAAAGTGTGTTTGAACTTATTATTCGTTTCAATATGTTTGTCCGATTTGTTGCCAATAATCATATACTCTGTTCACTGCTGACTATTTTTTGCTTGTAACGTATTGGGATTTTAGATTCTAGAAGGAAAAGCATACAAGCTACAATTTCCTTGGATTGGTGTTGTTAATCGCTCTCAAGCTGACATTAACAAGAGTGTTGATATGATTGCTGCTCGGCGCCGAGAACGAGACTACTTTCAGAATAGTCCCGAGTACAGTCACCTTGCTCACAGGATGGGTTCTGAGCACTTAGGAAAGGTGCTTTCTAAGGTATGCTAATGTTGTTTTCTTGGAATCTGTGTAAATAGATTTGTATGATGCGTTTTAATGTTATTAATGTAGTTCTTACTACTGAATTTGGTTAAATTTTCAGCATTTGGAAACTGTGATAAAGTCTCGAATACCAGGCCTCCAGTCTCTTATCAACAAGACTATTATGGAACTGGAGGGTGAATTGAACCACCTTGGGAAGCCTATTGCTACTGATGCCGGTGTATGTATTTAACCTGTTCTTTCCCTTTCAAATTTTCTGATACTTAGACGATGCATGTTGTTCACAGGTTGTTTTCTTCTTCTTTATTTCTGCAGGGGAAGCTGTATACAACAATGGAAATCTGTCGGGCTTTTGATCAAAACTTCAGAGAACATCTTGATGGCGTGTATGTTTCTGTATACCAGTGTGCTTTATCAACTTGTTAATGTATTTAATGTGCCTTTGGCGATGTCAATGTTGCCAGACGCGCTGGAGGTGAAAAAATATATGGTGTATTCGATAACCAACTCCCTGCTGCTTTGAAGAGGTTGCACTTCGATAAACATCTTTCAATTGAAAATATACGCAAGTTAATTACAGAGGCTGATGGATACCAGCCACATCTTATAGCTCCTGAGCAAGGGTATCGCCGTCTTATCGAATCTTGCTTGGTGTCTATCAGAGGTCCTGCTGAAGCAGCTGTTGATGGGGTACTTGATTAATTTCTATACCAATCATCAACTCTGAACTTGTTGTTAGGGTGTGGTTTGATTCATAATTCAATTTCAGGTTCATGCTATTCTAAAAGGTATTGTTCAGAAGGCTTTATCTGAGACACAGGTAAGTTCCTAGTCGTGCTAACTTCATGATTTTTGGCTTGCATTATAACATCTTGTTAGTTATTTTAGAGTTGTTGTACTCCGAAGAAACTCATCCGCAAGTCACAACTTCGCAACCATTCCTCCATCTATTGAAGCCTTCGAAGGAATTCTTGCGCTGACTGAAACCTTCGAAGTTTTATATATAATAGCCCGCCACAATTTCTTGATAAGACTCCTAACAAGTCTACGAGATTTGATAAGACCAAATCCACTAGACGGTCATATTTATTTGCTCTGTCAGCTTACGGATAATCATCATAACCCTAGGTCTTACATCAAGAATAAATGACAATATAAATTCTCATGCAAGATTGAAAAAATACTCTCTCATTCTCTTATACTCAAAGACTATTGTTCATTGTTTTCTTCAGCCTGTTTCTTTTTTCTTTAGCCTGTTTCTTTTTTCTTTTATCATCTACAAAATCACTGGCTGCGACTCTCCCAAATCAGAAGGAATAAACCTCCACAACTTACCTTTTAGCATCAACAAAAGTCAATAGTCTCTTTACATCTTAGATTCCTTTTTTTTTTTGTACGTAGGAACTAAAGCAGTACCCAACTTTGAGAGTGGAAGTAGGGAATGCTGCAATTGAATCATTGGAAAGAATGAGGGAAGAAAGCAAGAGAGCAACTCTACAGCTAGTTGATATGGAATGTGGTTATCTGACGGTTGAATTCTTCCGCAAGCTTCCTCAAGATGGTGAGAAGGGTGGAAATCCTACACATTCACTCTTAGATCGATATAACGACTCCTATCTTCGACGAGTTGGTAAGTATCAGATGGCACAAACACTTAACTGTTGGTTCATGCATATTGTCTTCGACAAGTTGGTAAATACTAGATCAGAGACGAACACAAAATTTTATGTTAAGTGTACGGAATTTTAGAAAATTATATTAGAATTTTAGAGAATGAAATAACAAAATGTTGGGGAGGTCTATCTCGACACCCCTCAGTCCATCCCTACATATAGGTAATAGTTGGTTTATGCATATTGTCATACGATTAGTCCTATCAATTGGGGGATATAGCTAGTTTTTGATCGAGTCAATTTTGAGTTTTATAATTGTCATGTTTGTTCATCATGTTCATTCTACAAATTTGATGGTTAAAAACAGGTAGCAATGTTCTACAATATGTGAATATGACTTGTGCAAATTTGAGAAACTCGATTCCCAAGTCAATTGTTTATTGTCAAGTTCGTGAGGCCAAACGCAGCTTGCTTGACTACTTTTTCACGGAATTGGGCAGGAAAGAGGTAAGTATATATTTACGGTACATGTAGGACCAAACTGCAGATATTTTCATGCCAAATCAATCAATTGGCATATTTGCAGGCGAGGCAATTGAGTAAGTTGCTGGATGAGGATCCAGCAGTTGTGCAGCGTCGTACAAACCTTGCAAAGCGTCTTGAATTATACAGGAGCGCTCAACACGAGATCGAAGCTGTTGCTTGGTCCAAGTAGTTGAGAATATGAGCTTTTGGACTAATTTTCCTCATTCTCCCCTTCCCTTGAGATTATCCATAGAATTAAATTATTTGGCGAGTCCACAATTCTTTTTATTTATTAGAACGTTTTATGTTTGATAAATAATTAAAGAATTTATCCTACTTGAATTTGAATTATAATCAATATATATTTGAAGAAATGATTTTGTCACTTTCAATTGTTAGTGATATCAAGTTGATGAATCAGCTACTTAGTTCTTATTAATTTTTGAAAAATAAATTATTTATCATTTTTCTTCTTTATTTTATTTTATTTTAATTAATCACTGGTATCCGATCTATTAACCGACTAATCCAGATCGGGTAGTACAGAGGCGAGGGTGACCATTCTAATCCAGTTTGCTTCATTCGCAAACGTCAGGATTCAAACCCCTGACCTTGCTTAAGTATCACATATATTTTGTTTCGGGACAAACCATTCAGTTCAGTGGTTAGGTAAGCATTCATGTTCTGCAATGAGCTAATACTGCTATAACATAGCACTGAGTTGCTGTGTACTTATCTGAAAAAGAAGAAATTAAAGTTGCTTGGATGGTATAATAACAATAAGGTTGAATTTATGTTCTGCTGATGCCATTAAAGTTATTTGCACCGTTTTGCAGTGACAGGTCTATTCATTGTTGTTATCATATATTAACCAATTTAACATAAAACACATATTGCCTCAAAAAGAAGCCACCTGGGTTGTTTCCACCGCACAACTCCACCATGTGTTAGAAATTGAGGAAGTGACATATTAATGGAAGTTGACCTCATACAAGAAGAAGAAGAAGAAGCCAAGAGCGAACCTCCCCCAGATTTATTGCTACTAATAAATTTTCTGTTACATTTATAAAAGTTTTCCAGCGATCAAATCACTGTTCTCTTGTCGCTGTACGTCCCTGTTTAGATTACATAAAATGTTCAAAAATTTATTTTGTAATAGTAATTTATTATTTGGAATTAGAGGTGTACCACTTTAATACAAAAACACCAAAAAAATCTTGCTCACTTCCTCAAACCTTCTCTTTTCCTTTTGCTGTGGAGGGTTCTCTATCGTCTTTAACTAATCAAACAACCATAAAACAGAATCATATAAAAGAATAAAAGATTGATGAAAGATAGAACAATGGATTTACAACATAAAAATGGTTTTATACTAATTGATAGGGCTTTCATTGCCTAAACTTCTCTTAAACCCAACTTTGCTTCGTATCACCTTTTGAAGAAATGATGAGCTTTTTAAGAGAAGATGAAGATGATTTTATCTTCCTCAATCTTTGATGATTGATTTATAATTATATAACTAGAAAAAAGAGTGATATATCATGATAGGACTACTTTCATTTTTACTCTAAAAATAAACGCTGACATATGATGCATCTCTCGCTATAAATGATAAATTCGTAACCTCTGCGCTGCTCATACTTAGTTTTGTATCCTTTTCATTGTTAATTGTCAAAAAGAATTTCGTGGGAAAAGCTTTTTTGTGGTGAAAATGGAATCTAGTAATGGTCTCAAATGGAGGAAGCAATCTCTCAAACCGATTAAAGCAACGGGTTCATTAGCAAGCAAAAGAGAAGCAGAAGAAGAGAACGGGAATAGCCAAAAAACAGCTGAAGAAGAGCCATTGAGCCCTTCATCTCGTCTCTTTCACGAACCAACCTTCAACGTTTATGTTATAGCCATCATGGGGTGCAAGACTAGAATTTACCCAGACATCGTCAAAGCCAACCTGGGCCATACTTTGCTTAGACACCCTCGTTTCTCTAGTTTGCAGGTATCATAAACAAGTTTTTATTTTTTTATTTCATTTTGATTCACTGATATGGCAAAAATGGCAGGTGATGGATGAAAGAAATAAGGGAGAAATGAAATGGGTTAGAACCGAAGTGGATTTGGAAAAACATGTCATCGTTCCAAAGGTGGACCCGAACATCGATTCAACAGAAAAGTTCCTGGAGGATTACATTTACAACCTGAGCAAAACCGGCATCGACAAATCGCAGCCTCTTTGGGACCTCCATTTGCTCAACTTAAGAACCCCAGAATCTGAGGCAGTTGGTGTTTTCAGGATCCATCACTCCCTTGGCGATGGCACTTCTCTCATGTCTCTTCTACTTGCATGCACCCGCCAAACGAATGATCCTATGGCGTTGCCGACTATCCCAGTCAAGAGGAAGCAAGAGAACAAGGATAATACGAGATGGTTCTGGAGAATTATGTTCATGTTTTGTTCTTTCTTTCAGGTGTTTCGGAATACCGTGGTTGATGTTTTCATGTTCATTGCCACGACTTTGTTCTTGAAAGATACTCAGAATCCTCTCAAGGGTCCATCTGGATCTGAGTTCAATCCTCGTCGAATTGTTTACAGGACAGTTAGCTTGGATGATATCAAGTTGGTGAAGAATGCAATGAAAACTGTAAGTCCATGTGTTGCATTATGAAGAAAATCTCAGTTATTGCAGAAAAAAAATTAATAAATTTTCAATCTGCAGACCATAAACGATGTTGCTTTGGGGATTACACAGGCTGGTCTGTCTCGCTATATCAACAGAATATATGGTAAGATTTCTTACTACCATGCAGTTTATGACTGAAACAGGAAAGGTTGATAGTACTTTTTTCTCTTATTAATTAGGTGGGAATAACGAAGATGAAGGAATAATAGAAAAGGATAACCTTCCGAAGAAAATTCGCCTCCGAACAACTTTGCTGATCAACCTAAGACCATCTGCAGGAATCCAGGTTGGTAGCTTTTGCTCAAATAATTTAGCAATTAATTTTTGCCCCTAATCTCTCTTAAATGATCTTAATTAAACATGTTAATGCATGCATGCCAGGCTTTATCTGATATGATGGAGAAAGATGCTGAAACAAAGTGGGGCAATTGGATTGGTTATGTTCTGCTCCCCTTCACCATCGCTTTAAGGGACGATCCATTAGATTATGTCCGTAATGCTAAGGCCACAGCTGACAGAAAGAAACGCTCCTTTGAAGCTATATTCACTTTCTCCATTGCTGAGTTAGCACTCAAGATTTTTGGCGTCAAGGTTGATTCCAATCTTTCTAATAAGTCTTAGTTTTTTCACTGATTTCTTATCAGATTGTATGTTTTCCAATGCTGAAAACAGACGGCCAGTGCTTTGTCCCATAGAATTTTGTCTCACACAACGATGTGCTTCTCGAATCTGGTCGGACCTTTGGAGGAAATTGGTTTTTATGGTCACCCCCTGGCTTTCCTTGCTCCTAGTTCTTATGGTCAACCTCATGTAAGTCTTTCATTTGAGAATAGCTACACTGTTGTTGGTTCGAATTATCGGCTGCTGATGTGATTACTGAAAACTGCAGGCATTGATGATCAACTTCCAGAGTTACGTAGATAAGATGGCGATTGTTGTATCGGTGGACGAGGGAACAATTCCAAACCCTCACCAGCTGTGTGCTGACATCGTTGAATCACTGAGGCTCATCAAGGATGCAGTGGTCACTAGAGGGCTTGCCTAGAAAACAGAAACGTCATGCCCCTTTTTAAACTGTAATCAGTTTTTTCAGGATTATGCTGCGACAAATTTCTTCGGTGTTTCATGGATCACAGAAACAAACAATTTCCCATGGTGTTGATGATTATCTATGACGAAGTTTTTATGTTGATGTTGCGTTTATTACATGGTAGGAAACGTACCGGGATTGTCAAAATCATATGAATGTTATCAAAATAGATTAAACTAATAAAAAAGTATCTGAACTTTATTTAAATCACCAATCGTACTTTCTGGACTTCACAGTGTTTTGCATGAAATTGGAAAAACACTCGGTTGTCACTAAAAAATTTAGACACCGAAATCAAACTCTTAGTTACTTGTGGAACACACATCAGGCTTTTAAGCTGCAATATTCGTGTAGAAGCAACTAAGCAAGACTGGCAACTGAACTTATATTCAAACCAACATCATTTTACCAGGACTAGAGTACTAGACTCCGTACGTTGTGAACATTTACAGGTTCTGGTGTGATGTGTTGAGATGCTCCCGAGTCAATAAACCAGTGTTCCGAAGCTCCATCAATAGTATGAGCAGCAGAGCTTGTGGACAAACATTCTCAACTCGAAAACTTCTCCCTGCTATACAACTACAACCAGTATTATCGGATAAAAGGAAGCTCCATATTTAAAAAAAACAAACTATACTATTGACCAACTAATTATTTAAATAGTTGAATGAACTGATTTACAAAATTTCAAAAATAATAACGAGATAATAGTTAGGTGTATGCATATGGGACAATTTGAATCTTGGTGTTGAAGACTTATTGTATTAAAAGAAGGCCAACTATCATTAAATAAAAATAAATAAAAAATCCAACAACTTAAATTGGCCTAATTTTGATGGACAAACCCTTTCCAAACACAACTCATAAGAAGGAATAAAATTTTTTCATTTTTATAATCTATTTTAATATCCAACTATTTTCTCCAACGCTTTTATCTTTTCATCTCTTTTCCTCCTCTCAAACTTCATAGTCAAGTTTGAGCTCAAAACCAAAACAATCTCTCTTTTGAAATTTTCTTTAAGGATTTAAGATACTTGAACCATCCAAAGGTAAGAAATGACATTCATTTATCAAAAAAAAATTTATTCTACTCTTACACAGGGATGGACCAAGAGGAGCGGGTGGGGGCGGTTTGTTAGTTTTTTGGCAAAATCCCACATTGGTTGTGTATAAGAAGAGGGAGAATTCTTTTGTTATAAATAGAGCTCTCCTCCTCCTTAGTTTAGCATCTCACAAATATAAGCCTCTTCTATATTAAAGGTTATTTGTATTCTTTCTTTCTCTTTGTAATATTTCCTCTACTAGTGAAATATTATTTTAGTAGTGTTCGAGGAGGTATACATAATTTTGGCCTAACCTCGTTAAATTTTGGTGTTCTCTTTATGTCTATTTAATAGCTATTGTCGGGTATAGTTGTTGTTAATTATTGTCCTATTAAAATTACTTGTCTTGGTAGTTCTGTCTAAGGAAAGTGGGTTTTAAGAGGGACCATTGTGACCCCTCCTCTTTCCTGGGAATCTACCTTGGTGTGATTTTTAGTACAATCGTTTTCACACAAGTCACCTAGATAATAATTTTCAAGGTGAATTTGTTATTATTGGTGGAAATTAACCTGAATTCCACAACAATTGGTATCAGAGCTCTTAGTTTTTTTAGTATGCTCTGTGGTTGCGGCTTAGGCTGATCTTCACATCAAAAAAAATTTTCTTGGGATAATTGGCATTCCACATTGACAACTATTAAATAGAATTTGTAGCAGAAATGGCAGATGCAATAAAAACATCAACATCGTCGTCAACAACTGTGACAAATGTTAGATTTGCAGTGGAGATTTTTGATGGCACCGGTCATTTCGGCATGTGGCAAAGTGAGGTTCTAGATGCCCTATTTCAGCAGGGTCTAGATATTGCTATTGAAGGAGAGAAACCAGATGATGATGAGAAAGAATGGAAGAGGATCAATAGATTGACATGTGGTACTATTCGATCGTGTCTTTCTAGAGAGCAGAAGTATGCATTTTCTAAGGAAACTTCTGCAAGTAATTTGTGGAAGGCACTGGAAAAGAAATTTTTGAAGAAAAGCGGTCAGAACAAGCTCTACATGAAAAAGAGATTGTTCCGCTTCAACTATGTACCAGGTACCATTATGAATGATCACATTACTAGCTTTAATCAGCTGGTGACTGATCTGATGAATATGTGCATGACTTTTGAAGACGAAGATCTGGCTGATGTTGATGGGATCACTTCCTGATAAGTTTGAGTATCTTGAAACTACTCTACTTCATGGGAAAGTTGATGTGTCTCTCAGTGAAGTAACTGCTGCCTTGTATAGTTATGAATTGAGAAAGAAAGACAAACAAGAAACACAAGTGTAGAAGCAGAAGCTCTTGTTGTTAGAGGCCGTTCGAAGATTCATAATAAAGGAAGGAGAGGGAGATCGAAGTCAAAGTCCAGATTGAGCAAAGATGAATGTGCCTTTTGTCGAGAAAAAGGGCACTGAAAGAAAGAATGTCCCAAGCTAAAGAACAAAGGCAAACCTGAAAGGGGAAAGGCTGTCTCAGAATCAAATGTGGTCGAGTATGATGATGCAGATTCAGATTTCGCATTTGCTACTACGCCATCAACCAGCTGTTCCAATTCATGGCTGTTAGATTCAGCTTGTAGCCACCATATGACCCCAATAGAGAATAGTTCTTTGATTTTAAAGAACTAAAAGGTGGAATTGTCTACACATCAAATAATTCCCCTCTTGACACACTTGGGATTGGTTCAATTCGCTTGAGGAATCAGGATGGATCAATCAGAACCTTAACAGGTGTCCATAAGGGAATCTGAAAAAGAAACAATGTGTATTACTTTCTGGGTAGTACAATTGTTGGGACAGCAGCAGTGGCAGCTTCTACTGATGAACAGGAGTCAGAAGCAACCAGGATGGCATATGCGCTTGGGGCATGTTGGTGAAAAATCTTTGAAATTACTGATAGATCAAGGATTATTGAAGGGTGCTCGGGCTTGCAAATTAGTTTTTTGTGAGCATTGCATCAAAGGGAAGAAGACGAGGGTGAAATTTGGAACAGCAATCCATGATACTAAATGTATTTTGGATTATGTTCATTCAGATGTATGAGGGCCTTCCAAGACAACTTCATTGGGAGGAACACACTATTATGTCACATTTGTTGATGATTTTTCCCGGAGAGTTTGGGTGTATACAATGAAGACAAAGGATGAGGTGCTAGGATTTTTCCTTAAATAGAAAAGATGGTGGAGACTCAAACAGGCAGAAAAATCAAACGTCTCCGTACAGACAATGGTGGAGAGTACAAAAATGATCCATTTCTGAAAGTTTGTGAAGAAGAAGGTATTGTCAAGTATTTCACTGTCAGAAGTACACCACAACAGAATGGGGTGGCAGAGCGTATGAACCAAACATTAGTGGAGAAGGTTCGGTGTATGTTGTCTAATGCTGGTTTAGGCAAATAATTTTGGGCTGAGGCTTTGGTCTATGCTTGTCACCTTGTCAACCACTTACCATCGACTGTTATTGGTGGTAAACACCATTAGAGAAATGGTTTGGAGTACCTGCTACAGATTATGATTCCTTAAATGTTTGGTTCCATTGCATACTACCATGTTAAGGAGTCAAAGCTGGATCCAAGAGCAAAGAAGTCGATCTTTATGGGGATCACCTCTGGTGTGAAAGGTTATCGTCTTTGGTGTCCAGAAACAAAGAAAATAATCTTCAGCAGAGATGTTACCTTTGATGAATCTACCATGTTGAGAAAGGTGACTTTAGAAAAATTGGAGCAGACATATGGAACTACCAAACAGGTGGAGTTTGATAAAGCAGAATTGATCCAGCCAGTAAAGAAACTGATGTTGACTCTCCTATGGTAGAAGAAGAGTCAGATGAAGAAGAGATTCAGACCCAAGAACCTCCACAACAACATGAATCAATTGCACTCAGAAAGGGAAAGAGGACCATTAGACAACCCGCTCGTTATGCTGATATGGTCTCTTTTGCATCACCAATTACAATTGATGACGTTCCTGCCACTTTTAATGAAGCAGTCCAAAGTTCAAAACATAAAAAGTGGAGGATCGCCATGAATGAAGAAATGTAATCCCTTCAAAAGAATCAGACGTGGAAACTAGCTAGTCTTCCTAATGGAAAGAAGGCAATTGGGTGCAAATGGGTAAATGCAAATAAAGATGGATTTCCTGACAATAATAACATCCGCTACAAGCAAGATTGGTGGCTAAAGGCTACGCTCAAACGGAGGGAGCTGATTATAATGAAGTATTTTCTCCAGTTGTAAAACATTCCTCCATCAGAATTTTGTTGGCTTTGGTAGCACAGTTGGATGTAAAAACTGTATTTTTACATGGAGACTTGGATGAGGAAATCTACATGACTCAACCAGATGGATTCAAAGTTGCTGAAAAAGAAGAGATGGTGTGCAAATTAGAAAAATCGTTGTACGGATTGAAGCAATCTCCAAGGCAGTGGTACAAGCGATTTGACAAGTTTATGATAGGGCAGAAGTACACAAGAAGCAAATATGATCATTGTGTGTATTTACGTAAGCTACAAGACGGATCCTATATATCTTCTTCTTTATGTTGATGATATGTTGATAGCTTCCAGGAGTCAGACAGAAATTACGAAACTAAAGACTCAATTGAACAGGGAGTTTGAGATTAAGGATCTTGGTGAAGCAAAGAAGATTCTAGGCATGGAGATATCAAGGGATAAGAAATTGGGGAGGCTTTGTTTGTCTCAGAAAAAATATCTGAGGAAGGTACTAAAACGTTTTGGCATGAATGAGAAGTCAAAACCAGTTAGTACCTCTTGCTCCTCATTTCAAGCTCGGTGCATCCATGTCACCTAAGGATGATGCATAACGGGAATACATGTCAAAGGTTCCGTATGCAAGTGCTGTTGGTAGCTTGATGTATGCAATGGTGTGTACGAGACCTGATATTTCACATGCAG